CCCCCCCCGCCATCGCCCGCCTCGCACCGCCGCCATCGCCCCCAATCTCCCCCGTGGCCCTCTCCTCCTCCTCCAATGAGCCAACACTTTATCCCGCCGGTCGTACGTACTTCCCCATGCTCCGTCGTGCCCTGCCCTTCCCCTTTCCCCCCCCAGTGGCACGGCCACATTCCGGGCGCAATCATGTCTCACCCGCATACCCAGAATTTCGGCCACGTTGACGAGGGGATCTACCGGTCCGGCCTGGCGACGGAGGCCAATTTCCCTTTCCTGGCGACCCTCAATCTGAGGGCGGTCATCTACCTGTCCTCCGACGAGCCGCCCCTGTCCTTGTGCGTTTGTGTCTCGGCACCCCCTCTCACCTCGCCCTCGCCCTCGCCAGGCGTGTCGCTGCCCTGAAAGTGCGTCCCCCTGCGTCTGACACTGACCTTGGGCCACTCACCCGCTCGCTTGCTCGCTCGCTTGCTCGCTCGCTCGCTCCCATCAGCCGCACCTTCCTGTCCGACCGCCAGATCCAGTTCCTTCCGCTGTGCAATGAGTCGCACCCCTGGTCGTCATCATTGCCACATAGGCCGGGCCCTGAGCTCGCCGGGGCCGGGAACCCCGGGCTCATGTTGCCTGGTCAGGTGCCCCGCCGGCCTGGAGGCATCCCCGGCGACCTGGGCGCCGGTGCCTCGTCGATGCCTGTGGCGGGCCCGACGGGCACCGCCTCGCCACCGATGGCCAGCACCACTGGAACCGATGATATGGAGCCGCCGCTGGCAGATCACCCGCCGGCGCACCCGCCTGGCACGCCGGCACAGCCCCCGCCGGCTGCCATCCCGGCCACCGGGCCCACCAGTGTCGACATCGGTCCCGACAGCTTCCTCCGGTTGAGCCTGCAGAATGACCACCTCCGGCAGCGGGCTCCCTCGACCTCCAATTCGGATCCTCCCCCCGAGGAGGTCGTGGTCCAGGCCTTGGCCTTTCTCCTGCGGCCGGAGTCCCGCCCGGTCCTGCTGATGTGCCAGCCGGGCCGGCACCGGACCGGCGCCGTGGTGGCCTGCCTGCGCAAGGTCCAGCGGTGGAACCTGACCAGCATCCTGGAGGAGTATCGTCGGTATGCCGGGGCCCGGGTCCGGCCGTTGCATGAGCAGTTCATCGAGCTCTTCGACACGGATCTCATCAGCGCCCCGGCCCCGGCTCTGGGGCTCCTGGAAGGGACCACATCCCACGGGGGCGGGTCTCCGCCAGCCAGTGCCTCCTCCCCGCCGACCCTCGGCAAATAATCAGATCGCCTCTTTTTGTCTGTCCCTCGCGAATTCTGCGCGCGTGTGCGCGTGCGCATGTGCGTGTGCGCATGTGCGTGTGCGCATGTGCGTGTGCGCATGTGCATGTGTGCGTGCGTGCGTGCGTGCGTGCGTGCGTGCGTGCGTGCGTGCGTGCGTGCGTGCGTGCGTGTGTGCGTGTGTGTGTGTGTGTGTGTGTGTGTGTGTGTGTGTGTGTGTGTTCGTGTGTGCATGTGGAGGGATGGGCGTGGGTGTGGGCGTGTGGCTGGATGCGGGCATTTGGTGTGTTCCTTCAGCCTCCAGCACCCGTAGCAGCACTGGCAAAAGGCCGGGAACGGCCATGTTGTTTCCTGGGCCGCCCCCCTCCTAGGCACTAGTAAATGTGGGACATGCCGCGGCTGGCCGCTGTGTTTTTATTTTGTCCCACCCCTTCCGGGGGCAGCTGGAGCCCAGCGGGGCAGGGGCGCTCTGGCGCGGGCGCATATTACCCTGCCCATCTTTGGCAGCCAGTGACTGGGTATCCATGCCCCCCCCCCGCCCCCCCGCCCCCGCCCCCTGGGCCTGTGGCCCGGGCGGTCGCACGCCCTCGCCTAGGCTCGCGACAGGCACGGGGGCGTGAAAATAGGACAGACCTTTTGCCGCCAGTCGAGTAGTCCCAGACCAGTCGGTGTCGGCCTGCCCCC